GAAGGAAAGGAGAGGGAGGGAGGTAGATAAGGGTAAAGAGGGTCAAGTATATGGTGAGGGAAGGAGATTTGACTTTGGGTGGCGAACACACAATGCCATATACAGATGATGTATTATAGAATTGTACACTTGAAACCTATATAATTTTATTAACCAATGTCACCCCCAATAAACCTGGTATAAACAAACAAACAAATAATAATAGGGTATGCAGCGGTATGGCACTGTGGTTGATTTGCCTTTCCCTAATGGCTAATGGGGTTGACCATCTTATCATGTGCTTATCGTTCGTCTGTATATCTTCTTTGGAGAAATGTGTAAGTCCTTTGCCCACTTTTTAATTGGTTTGTTTGATTTTTGTTGCTGTCATTAAGTTTTAGTTCTTTATATATTCTAGATATAAATCCTTTTTCAGATATGCGATTTGCAAAAATTTTCTCCCATTTTGTGGATTGCCTTTTCACTCTTAATTGTATTCTTTGAGACACAAAAGTTTTTAATTTTGATGAAGTCCAATTTATTTTTTATTTTGTTGCTTGTGCTTTTGGTATCATCCAAGAAATCACTGCCAAATCCAATGTTGTGAAACTTCTAAAAGTTTTATAGTTTTAGCTCTTATGTTTAGGTATTTGATCCATTTGGGGTTTCTTTTTGTAATTGGTGTGAGATAAGGATCCAACATCATTCTTTGGTATGTTCGTAACCAGTTTTCGGCATGATTTGTTGAAAAGACAGTCCTTTTCCCATTAAATGGTCTTGGCACACTTGTCAAAAATCATTTGACTATATATGTTAGGTTTTATTTCTAGGCTCTCTGTTTAATTCCATTGGTCTATATGTCTGCCTATGCACTACCACACTGTTTTGGTTACTGTACCTTTGTTGTAAGTTTTGAAATCAGGAAGTGTGAGTCTTCCAACTTTGTTTTTCTTTTTAAAGATTACTTTAGCTATTCAGAGTCCCTATAGATTCCATGTGAATTCTAGGATGGACTTTTTTTTTTTTAATTATTTCTGCAAAGAATATTGTTGGATTTTGATAGGGATTGCATTGAATCCGTAGATCGTTTTGGGGTAGTGTTGACATCTTCACCTTAAGTCTTCCAATCAATGAATATGAGTGTCGTTACATTTATTTGTGTCTTCTTTAATTTCTTTCAGCAATATTTTGTACTTTTCAGTGTACAAGGCTTTTGCCTCTTTGGTTAAGTTTATTCCTAAGTATCTTATTTATTTTGATGTTATTGTATGTGGAATTGTTTTTGTAATACCCTTTTTGGATTGTTCGCTGTTAGTGTATAGAAAAGCAACTAATTCTTCTGTGTTAATTTTGTATCCTGCAACTTTGCTAAATTCAATTATTAGTCAGTTCCATGAGTTTTGACACATGTAAAATCATCACTGGCTTCTTTCTCTTAGCCTTCCTCCTCGGGTTAGATAATTTACTAAATTTACTAAAAACTCAGGAAAAGTTTACAAACTAGGTTACTGGTTTATTATAAAAGATATAACTCAAGAATAGCCAAAGAGAAGAGGTGTATGTGGGGGAGGGACATGGAGCTTCCTGGCCTCTCCTCTTCCATGTGCCACTCTCCCGCTCCTCGATGTGCTCACCAACCCAGCAGCTCTCTGAACCCTGTCCTTGAGGGATTTGGGGGGGATGTTTTGTTCTGATTAGGTAATTGGCCATTCCATTGGTGATTAACTCAACCTCCAGCCTCTCTAGACCTGGAGGTCTGGGAGCGGGGTTGAAAGTTACAGTCTTCTAAAGTTACATGGTTGTCTCCCCTGGCAAGCGGCACCCCCATCCCGAGACTATCTGGGAGTGCCTAGCAGACAGTCATCTCCTAAGCTTACAAAAAAACACCTTTCACTTCTGAGATTCCCAGGGTTTTATGAACTGTATGCTAGGAAAACAGGGCAGAGACCAAATGTGTGTGTGTGTGTGTGTGTGTGTGTGTGTGTGTGTGTGTGTGTGTGTATGTTTTCTTTTCTTATTGCCAAATAGCATTGCATGGTGTGGATCTGCCACAATTTCCCCGTTCACCCATTGGTGCGCGTTTGGTTTAGTTGTTTCCAGTATTTGGTGATTATGAACAGAGCTTCTATAAACATTGGTCTGCAGGTTTTGAGTGGACGTATATTTTCATTCATCTTGGGTTAATACATAAAAGTGGATTTGTTGAATCGTACAGTAAGTATGCATTTATTTGCATAAGAAACTGACCAACTCTCTTCTAGAGTAGCTGTACCACTTGGTATTTCCAGCAGCAGCGAATGAGGACTCCAGCTGCTCTGAATCCTTGCCACCACTTGTTATTATTGTCAGTTTTTATTTGTTTCTTTGTTTTAGCCATCCCAGTAGGTATGAAGTGATAGTTCATGGTTTTAATTTGCATTTCCCTAAGGACAAATGATGTTTCCTGTGCTTATTTGCCATGTAGATATCTTCTCTGGCGAACTGTCCAAACTTATGCTCATTTTTTAATTGGGTTGTTTGTCTTCTTGTTATTGAGTTCTGGGAGTTCATTATATATTCTGGATCCAAGTTCTTTGTCATGTATTTTCTCCCTGTCCATAGCTTGTCTTTTTATTCTCTTGATAGTGTCTTTTTTTTTTTAGAGTGTAAGTTTTCATAGTATTTTTTAAAGTTTTTTGAAGTTTGTTTTTAAAAGAAGTTTAAATTTTTGACTACGTAAAATTTCAGGTTTCTTTCCTAAAATTGGTCTGTCTGGTTACTCAGGGCCCCAGCCCTACTCTGCTTTTAGTGTCGGCTGCCTGGCTCCCTGGAACATTTTTTCTAAGGGGAGGAATATGCTCTGATGGGGTCAGGTAGGCAGAGGACAGAAGTTAACATTTTGGTCTCAGGAGTCACAAGACTTGGGTTCAAATTCTGACCCCACCATGGTCTTGCTGTGTGACCCAGAGCTGATCATTCTCCTCTCTGTACCTGTTTCTTCATCTGTAAAATAGAGTTAATGCAGTTCACTCCGCATTCCCCCTCCCCAGAACTAGCCTAGAAAAAAAAACTCATTTTTTTCCCTCAGTTTATGGAAGCTGGTATCACTGTCCTGGCGATTTCAAACTTATTTCTTAGCAGAGCGACTATTCAAATATAATCTTATGCTGACTCGCAATAGGTAGACCAGGAAGGGGAGAATTCCGTTTCCTCTCGCTACTTCCTTGTACCCCCAGAGCACAGCCTGAAGTCTGCTCGCCAGTCTAATCTCCTCACTTTAACAATGGAGTAACAGACCAGAGAGGGCAGCGGCCTTCCCAAGGCCAAATAGCACATTGCGGACACACAATTCCTGCTCTCATCCTCAGTTCTCCATAGTGACTGTCCTGCTGAGTCCATTCCCTAGGTGGCTTATGTGGGGCTGGTTGACTTAGAATTACCAATGTTTTTTGAGCTCTGTGCAGGGCATTGTTTTCAGCGTTTAACCCCTGTTAATACTGGTCACCTGGAGGCGGTGGTTGTCCTCATTTTGGAAGTGGCATAGCCATCATCTCCCTGCCTCATCCTGAGAGTCTTGGTCTTGCCAGGGCCCGCAGGCTGGGACTCCACTGTCTCCCCTCTCTGCAGCTCTATCTCTGTCCTAGTCTGTCTGTATCTCCATTCCAGCCACATCAGCTTCCTTGCTGGCCCTCAAACAAAAATTAAATCCTGCCCCAGGGTCTTTGCACTTGCTGTTCCCTCACCTTTGAGTGCTTTCCACCACCTCTTGACCCGTGGCCTGCTCCTTCTCATCTTTGAGGTCCTGCTCAGATGTCACCTCCTCAGACAGGCCTTTTTTAACCACAGCAGCTAAAATCATCTCTCCAGTAACTTGCCAGTCATCTACCTAGTTTTAATTCTCTGCATGGCACAATCCAGTTCATGTATTCATTCATTCATTCATTCACTCATTCATTTTATGATTCATCCAATAAACACTTATTGACTACCCTCTATGTGCCAGGCCATGATCTTGGCTCAAGGGATACCAAGGGGTATAGCAGTGAACAAAGCAGACAAAAATCCCTGATATTCAGCACTTAGTTTGGGAAGGGAAAACAAATAATAAAGAAGTAAAACATAGAATATGTCAAGTAAGTAGAGTTTTTTTTAAGGAAGAGAAATAAGAAATATTAGGCCAGGGGTTGGAATTTTAGATGGGTTAGTCAAGGGAGGCCTCCCTGAGGAGGCAACATTTGAGCTGAGGCTTGAAGGAGGTGAAAGAGGATCCATTAGAGATCTGGGCAGGGGAAACAGCCTGTGCAAAGGCCCTGGGGCAGGACCGTATCTGGAATGTTTAGAGAATAGTGAGGAGGCATTGTAGCTGGAGCAGAGTGAATGAGGGGCGGAGTGGGAAGTCACAGGGCAAGGAGCCCTGTGGCCCATAGTGAGGACTTTGGCTTTTGCTCTGAGTGAGCTAGGGACCTTAGAAGGTTCTGCGCAGTAGAGGGATGTGACCTGACTCAGGTGTTCACAGGCTCCCTCTGTCTGCTTAAGAGGGGAACAGACTGAGGAGCAAAAACAGGAGGCAGGGACCAGGGCCGAGGTGAATGCACTGATCCAGGCAAATGATGAGCGGGGCTGGCCAGGGAGGAGTGAGAAGTAGACAGATCCTGAATAGATTTGGGAAGCAAGCCTGATTTTAGGTGCAAAGAGAAGAGTAGAGCCAAGGAGGATCTCACAACTTTTGGGGTGTACATTGTCGCTAGTTAACCTGTTTATAGTCTAGCCTTCCCCATGTCATCTCCGTGAAGGGAAGATCATGGTCTGTCTTGGTCACTGCTGTGTCTCCAACACCTGCAACAGGGCCTGGCTCACAAAGGCTCTCAGTAACTGACCTCTGCAAGTCTTTGTCTCCAATCTCTTTTGAGGTGCGTGTCTTTCTTTAATGTCCTCTATCTGCCGCCCATCTCTGCCAGGAATTCCCTCGGGCCCCTTGTTCCTCTTAACCTCCCTGATGCCCTCTCAGCCCCCATAACCCCTGTTTCTGCCTACCCCTGCAGCTTCGAGGCAGAGAATGGGCCTACACCCTCGCCCGGCCGCAGCCCCCTGGACTCGCAGGCGAGCCCGGGCCTTGTGCTGCATGCTGGGGCGGCCACCAGCCAGCGCCGTGAATCTTTCCTCTACCGCTCAGACAGCGACTATGACATGTCACCCAAGACCATGTCCCGGAACTCGTCAGTCACCAGCGAGGCGTGAGCATCCCCTAATCCCACCTGCTACCTCTTCCGGGCCTGGCCCTACCACAAGCTGCCCTTCCCAGCAGGAGGTGGGGCACTGTCCAGGCCCCCAGACCTGTCCTCCCCAGTGAAGGGTAAACAGCCCCCTTCTGCCATCAAGAGCTCGGTCCCTTTATAGCAAGTCTACCCAGAGAGTGCCCACCCTATCTCTGCTCCCCCCCAGCTACACTGAGCCCTTCCCTCAGGCCCAGCTTCCACCCATGTCCATATAGTCCCCACCTGCCCAGCGTATCCATGTGCTGTGGGGGTCTGGCCCCACCTCAGCCTGTGTCTCCAGCAAGGAGGGAGCATCCTCGCTTGAGCCCCTCCCTGCCCCTGCTTCCTCCCCGTGTCTGCCTTGGCTGACTCCTCTTCTTTTCCTCCTCCAGCCTTCCCTAAGCCCCCTTATCCTGACCACCTGTTGAGGTGTGAGCCGCCCCAGACCTGCTCAGCCCCCTCCCCTCTTTTGGATCTTCCAGCCCTGCCTTTGGCCATCAAGGCACCCACCTCAGTCCCCTAGGCTCCGCCCCACCCACTGCCCTCACCAGGCCCAGCCCTTGTAGCGCATCTACCACCCCACACACCTGCCTCAGCCCATTTCCTTCAGCACAGGCCCCTGCCGCACGTCTACCTTTGTGAGGAGTAAGTGCCCTCTCCCCTGAGCCCACAGAGCCCCCACTGCCTGCCAGCCTCCCTGGGCCCAGCTCCCGGAGTGTCCACCCTAGGGAGTTGCTTCTCTGGCCCCCAGCTTCTCTCCTCCCAGGTCCTTTGGCATCCTACTGAGAGGCCCTCTGACCTGCCCCTGTCCTTGATTATAGGCACGCCGAGGACCTCATCGTGACTCCATTCGCACAGGTGAGACCCCTCCACTAAAGGAGGGAAGGGGCTCCAATCCTCCTCCACACTTGGGGATGGGGGCCCAGCCCCATCCACCCTGCCCTCACTGCTGCTCCCGGTCCCAGGTGCTGGCCAGTCTCCGGAGCGTCCGCAGCAACTTCTCACTCCTGACCAATGTGCCCATTCCCAGCAACAAGTAAGTCGAGGCTGGGCCCCAACGACCATGATCATGAGGCTAAGCACCCCCAGGTTCCACTCTCAGTTCTGCTGTGTGACTTCAGGCAGGAACTTGTACTTGACCTCTCTGAGTCTCTGTTCAGGCAACAGTTCCCTCTGAGCCAGTAAACCATTGTAATTCAAATTCCTAAGACACAAAAACTTTTATAAATACAGACCGAGGGGTCTGACACAGGGTTGCTGACCACCCATAGCCTCACAACCTCCCCTGCCCTCATGCCAACTTGCCGGGCAAATAGCATCCTGTGGTGCCTCTGTTCCCCCTCCATAAAATGGGGATTTAATAGTGCCTCTGACAGATAGCTGCTATGAGGAATCCAAAGATGATATATAGAACATTGCCCAGCACATCATATGTGCTCACTATATAGCAGTGGTTCTCACTTTGGGTTGGGTGTGGCTGAGAGCTGCTGGTCCCTCGGGAGTGAGGGATCAGAGCCACCTTCAGAAGGTTCAAGGAATAAGGGGGAGGGATGGTCAAGAAGCAGGAACTTTGGAGACACATGACCTGACCCTATAGCTGCTCAGCCATGGTTCATAGGAAGCTGGTTTACCTCCTTGAGCCTCAGTTTCCTTGTCTGTAAACTGGGTTCTTGTGGGGCTCTGTGAGAGGCTATAGGCAGAGTACATGGCAGCATGTCTGGGACACAGTGAGTGATCAGTAGAAGGAATATCCACTATTCATGGAGAAGGGGTGGCAGGGCTCTGGAGGAGCCAGGGCTGGCACTGGAGCCCCATTTCTTTGCAGGCGGTCTCCGCTGAGCGGCCCAGTCCCTGTCTGCAAGGCTACGCTGTCAGGTACCTAAGCCCGGGGGGAGTGGAAGGGGCCCCTCTTACTGCCCTGGTGAGGGTCCCTGGGGTGGTTGGCCCCTGGGGTGGTTAACTCACTCCCCTTTCCTAGCAACCTACTTACCTAGTAGACCTCCATCACCACAGGCTGGGGCCTCTGGGGGTCTGCCTGTGGATCTTCTCAGTCACCTCCCCTGCTGCCCCTTCTCCAGAGGAGACGTGTCAGCAGTTGGCCCGGGAGACATTGGAGGAGCTGGACTGGTGTCTGGAGCAGCTAGAGACCATGCAGACCTACCGCTCAGTCAGTGAGATGGCATCCCACAAGGTATTTGGGCCCGGTGCTGTTGGGGTGGGGCCCATCCTTGGATGGGGTCTATGGGGTGGGATCAATCCCTGGGCCAGGCCAACGCCTGGGCGGCAGCTTCAGGACTTTGTAGCTTCTATAGGTTACGTCTCCCAGGGCCGAGGGAGTCTGGTGTGTGTGAGTGTACGAGTATCTGGCTACATGTCTGTCGGTAGACAACCATCTCTCTTGGGGAGGGGTCCTATGCTTCTATGGTCTATAAGTGTATTATCTGTGGCGGCTGTTGACTTGTTGGCTACGCATTTGCATTGTGAGGTGTGGCTATGTTCTCAGAGGTTCCATCAGGAGGGCTATACAGATGTGTACATGTGGACGGTGTGTGAGTGTGTACAGGTGATTATTTGGGACTGCAAGTGTGTGGGGCTGTACCAGAGGGGTGTACATGTCTGCAGGTGTGAGTTGGTCCAGGTGGGAATGTGAATGTGAATCTCCATGTGTTTGTGACTATGTAGGTATGCTTGCAGGGCTGCTGGGGAGGGTGCAAGACTTCTGTGTACAGCTGTACAGTCTGTGCACTGCACAACTCCAGGGGGCACTATTCAGGAAGCAGGCAGTGCGAATGATGCTTCTGAGAGTTGTGCAGCATGGTGGCAGCCTCTGTGGGAGGATGCCTATCAGGAAATGAGTGTGCAGGTGGGGGTGTTTTTGTTGGAGGGGTCCATACATCTGTGGGTGGAGGTTTGTCTGAGAACATATGTCTGAGGTCGATTGTGTGTTGAGCATCTGAGAATGTGAATGTGTTTCTGAATGTGGATCTACGAGTGTGTGTCTGTGATGTGTGTATTTGTGTGTATATATACCCTTATGGATTTGTCAGGGTACATTTGTGTCTAAGGCTACATGGGTATTTGTGTTTATTTGAAAGTGTGTCTACAAGTGTGTTGAGTATGTGTGTGTCCAGTGTCTTGGTGTTTGTCCCTCAGTGTGTGTCTCCACGTCTGGGTGTGGATCCGTATTTTTGGAAAGGGCATGTCTGAAGGCATTTGTATCTCTGTGTACTCAACTGTATACCTGTAAATTTATTGCACATCAGAGTTGCGGCTGTGTGTGTTGGGGGCGGGGTCTGTGTAGGGTTGAAAGCATTTGAGTATTTGTGTGTATTCAAGTGTATCAAGTGTCTGGTGTGGCAGGTGTGTCTCAGAGTGTTTGTGTGTCTATGAATGTGTGGAACATCTGGATGTGTGTCTTTGTCTCTGAGTGTGTCTGTGGAGCGGGCATATCCCCTTGAGGGGGTGTGTGCCGCCCTGCCCATCCCTAGTAGTCCCACCTGAGTCCTGGCTGAGGTCCGTGGGCTCCAATGCCCCTTTAACGCCCCCCCCACAACCCCCGGCACCAGCTGACATCACATGCAGCCTGCCAGTGCTGCAGTGAGCACGCACACACACACACACACACACACACACACACACACACACAGAGCATACACAGAAAATACGTTTGCCTACTAAAGAATTTCAAGGCCTGGCGGAGGGCCGGGGGCTCCAGTGCCCCTTTAACGCCCCCCCCACAACCCCCGGCACCAGCTGCCATCACATGCAGCCTGCCAGTGCTGCAGTGAGCACGCACACACACACACACACACACACACACACACACACACACACAGAGGCGCATACACAGAGCCAGAGCCTCCAAAGCCACCTCCTGGGACCCTAGCCCTGTCCCCCCATGGGCAGGGGTCCCTGGCCGCCTCCAGCCGCTGTTGTGGAGGGGCCCACAGGGGCCAGGGGCTGGCAGACCATGTAACCAGGGCTGCCACCGGGAGCGCGGAGGGGAAGGGAGCCCCCAGCCCTGCTGGGCCGGCCCAGGCCCCTCCGCGGCTCCCCCTTCCACTGCCCACCCACCCAGCACCCCACCCCCACCTCAGACGGTGGCTGTTGATCCTGGGACTCCCCAAGCCCAGCCTCTGTGTGCGGCAGCCCTGAGCGGGGCCAAGACTCCAAGATGCCCTTGGTGGATTTCTTCTGCGAGACCTGCTCCAAGCCGTGGCTGGTGGGCTGGTGGGACCAGGTAGGGGACCTCGGGGTGGAGAGTGGGCAGCAGACCAGGCTGTGGCCCTCTGACCTCTGACCCCCGGTCTGGACTTATGTGTGCAGCTGTGCACGTGTGTAGCCTGGAAATGAATGCTTACAACTGTGTGTCTGTGTGTGGCCCAGGGCTGGGCGTAGATAGCTGGGGGTCTCTCTCTGGGTGTGACTGTCAGCACACATGTATGTGTCTACAGTGGTGTAGGGCTGCCTGACCATATGTTCGTTTGCCTGGGTCATGGCGTGGCCCTGTCTGAGATCACATGGCTCTGATCGTGGTATGTTGGGCGTGTTTGTGAGCCTAGATCTGCGTGATTTTTCTGGGGCATGTGACCCTGAGTGTCAGTGACCACCTTATTATATAGGCCCCTTGATTTGTGTATCTGGGGCTGTGTAGAACTGTGTAACACAGGAATCTGTGACTCGGTGTGCAGTTTGTGACTTTGTAGGTCCATCTTGTTTGCGTGTGTGCGTGCGTGAGCACGCATGTGTGTCTCTTTATGTGTGCCCAGGGTCTTTGGGCAGCACTGGGAGGAGTGAGCGCCCTGTCCCGGTGTGGGCTATGCGGGCTCATCCTTCCTGCCCAGTGACCCTCCTGATCCTCTGGACAGAGACGGCTCCTGCTTTGGGGGTGCTTTGGGGGATCTTGGGGGTTGGGAGGAGATGCCCTTTCTCCTCCTTGCACAATGTCACAGCAGATGCTCTGTGAAGTGGCATGGGGGGACCAGGAGGAGCCCCCAAGCTTGATTCTGAGTGTACTCCCTTCATCTGGTGTCTGTCCAGCCCCTGAGGTTGGAGGATGGGGGGCTGTAATGGGAACCCCTCTCTCTTGGGTGACTGAACTAGGGTTTCTTTGGCTCACTATTCCCTCTCACTCTGGCCAAACCTTTTTTTCACCCAGAACTTTGGGACTGTGTTCCGTCCTTCCAAACTGGGCTGGGGGCTGGGAGCCAGGGCGCCTAGGGAGTGGGGTCCATGTCTGGGGAAACCCAGGCCAGGGGTAGCTCTGGGAAGGCAAGGGTTAAGGGGCATGCAGCCTGCCCCCCTTTCCCCCAAGCTCAGCAGCTGGTTGGAGGGGGAGTTGCTAAGGAGACTCCCATTGCCATGGCAACGGGATTCTCTTGATACCCCATTGGCTCCCTGTTAGTCAGGAGCCCCTCCCTTCTATAGGTATCCCTCTGGCTTCTCCTTAGGGAGGAGGGGGAGAGAGGATGGGGAGGGGAGCCCCCTCCCCCAAGCCTTGGGGACCCCTATCAGAACTGGGAGAAGAGGAAGTGCTGACTCCTCCCCTCTAGCAGCCTGCTGGGGTTTCTGTTGGTTGAACAGAAAAGTAGGAGGGACTCATGGGGTTTTCAGAAATTTCTTGGGAGGGGCTGACTCCCCCACTTCTCCTTGACCCATCATCCCTTCCTTCTTGCCTCCTTCACCTTAGTTCAAGAGGATGCTAAACCGTGAACTCACACACCTGTCAGAGATGAGCAGGTCAGGAAACCAGGTCTCTGAGTACATCTCCACCACATTCCTGGGTGAGTGAAGAGCAGCATGTGGCAGGGTACACACCTGGGCTGGAGAGCCCCCCCAGGCCCCAGGTCCTATCGCCCACCTTTGCCCAGGGACTCTGACTCTTAACTCCTCAAAGATCAAAGCCGCCATGCTTATGAGTTCCCATACTTAGGATGCCGCCAAAGCCAGTGGGACCCCATTTTCTATAGAACCAGCACAGTATAAAATCTTTCTAAACTGAAAAGCCGTTCCAAATTCAGTGGAACCCCAATGGAACGCTCAAACTCAAGACCCCAAGAAACTCCCAAACTCAAATAGGATTCTTAAACTTTAAAATGCCTCTAGGCTGAAAAGCCCCCCACTCTAGAATTCAATAAAATCTGCAAACTTGGATTCTCCCCAAATTCAGAAGACCCCCCCAAAATTCAAGAAAGATGTCTAACCTCGGTAGGATTCTCAAACTTGAGGGAACCTCTGCCTTGAATAGTCTATAAAAGACTCCAACACTTTAAAAAACCTCCAAGTTGAAAAATTCCCCAAATCCAATAGAATCTCCAAATGCATAGGACCCCCCAAATTCAGTAGACTCTTCAAACTTTAGATACCCAGACTCAAGAGAATTTTTAAGTTTAAGAACCTGGAAGAGCTTCCTGAAATTTAGAATTTCCTAACCCGATGGAACCCCCAATACAGTAGAATACATCAAATTTATTGGAACTCTCAAACTCATGGGAACCTCCAATTCATCCTAACCTCTAAACTCAAGAGCCCAAGCTGAGGATACCTCCCACAAACTCAGGATAATTTTACCCTCACTATTTCCCCACAAGCTTAAAAGAAGGTTCTGATTTCAAATGCTCCCGCCAGTGGGGGTGTGGCTGTGCCAAGTTCTGAGATCCAGCCAATGGGAGCATGGCATGCAAATGACCCCTATTAGGCCTTGTTATTGCCTGACAGGCCCCAGGTCACAATGGGTGGCCCTGGCTGGGCTCTGGAAGCCCTTAAAGCTCAGGAAAAGGGCTGCTGGGGCTGGCTCCTTAGCAGGCTGCTGTCACCAGGTGGGGGGAGGGTGTCCATGGAGCGGGAGAGACCATTCTTCCCTCCCTCCTCCCAGCATTGTCCAACCGCCCCCACCCCCAGCACTCTCAGTCACCATGAGGGTGTCTTCCAGTCCAGAGAAGTTTCCCTGCCTATCTGGGTCAGGCAGCGGCTCTCCCTAGCATCCTCACCCCACTTGTTGATTTCCCACACCACCCCCATGCCAAACCTGGCGATTGGACCCGTGCCATTCCACAGCTTTGAGCAGGCCCCTGGGTTCCAACTCCAGCCTACCACCTCCCAGAAGAATTCCTTCCTCCCCTCTGGTTTCCAGCCTATGGGTAACCAACAGCGTGACTCCCAGAAGTGGTCTGCCCTCCTGGATGAGACTTCCCAAGTGAACGGGATAAGGTCTAAAGGCCAAATAGGGAGTCTCTGTGGGGAACTCATGCTTGCCACTCCTTCATCGTATACAGACAAACAAAATGAAGTGGAGATCCCATCACCCACGATGAAGGATGGAGAAGAACAGCAAGCGCCACGGCAGAGACCCTCCCAGCAGCCGCTGCCCCCTGGGCCTCAGTTCCAGCCCATGTCGCAGATCACAGGGGTGAAGAAGCTGATGCATAGCAGCAGCCTGACAGATTCCAGCATCCCCCGCTTTGGGGTGAAGACAAACCAAGAGGAGCTCCTCGCCCAAGTGTGTTGGGGGCTCAGTGGATGCTGGCCTGGAAAAGGACAGGGGTCTCCTGGGGCCCAGGGAAGGACTAGGCTTTGGGTTGGTTTGAGATGAGGATCGGGGTGTACAGGTCCCCGTACTATCCGAAAGTAGAGTGTTCCTATGAAACCTTTCGTAAATCGAAATGGCATAAAGCAAAGCAGCAGTTACCATTGATTTATACATATTTATTTTGTTCACCACGATCAAAACAATTATGTTCAGTTTTACACTAAGCATAACACCCTTACCAGCTTTCTTAGGCTTTTCCGATACCTTAGGATACATTTTACTAACAGATGCACAAAATAAATCAAAGTAAAACACAGATGCTCACAAGACAAAGTTCGAAGCTCTGGTGGCTGGAAGCTGAGATGCTGAGTGTGGTTCCTGGACAAGAGCTTGGCAGGGCCACTCTTGCTGCTCAGGGTGCTGCGGCCTCTACAATGGCTGCTACAAAACTAATGCTGGACACTGTTTTCCCTTTTCACCTTTTTCCTAAAAGCAAAAGACCTCTTCAGAATTCTTTTGGTTCACAAAAACAGGTCCTAATGTAAGTCTTTTGTAAAGGCGAGTGGCATAACTCGAACTTTCGAAAAGTGGAGGATACTTGTACCTGCTTTCTGAGACTTCGAGAGCAGCAGAGGAAAGAACTAAGCAAGGAAGTAGTCTAGGCTGGAGTCTGGCCTCAACCTGACCCCATGGGGAGCTCTGGAGTGTGACCAGCACCACAGAGTTGAGCCCATCTTGAGGGAAGAATGTTGGCCTCTGTACTGGTCGGTGTCAGTCACTGGCTGGGGAGTGCCCCCAGGGTGGACGACTTCACCCCTTCTGTGTAGCTCCTGTGGAGGCAAAAGCAGTTTTCTAGCGAGTGGGGCAACTGTGGGCCTTAGAATCAAGAGTCCCAGCAGCTGGGGCTGGCAGGGGGTGAGTGCGATGGCCAGTGAAGGGGATCTGGGCAGAAGCCTAACAATGTCCACTACAGGCCAGACCTGGATTTGGCTCCTGATTCTTCCAAGAGATCTTAAGACAAGGGGCTCCCCCATTGATGTGTACAATAGATGTGATGCACTGTCAGCGACTCACTCAGCTGACATTTATCGTAACCTTCTGCGAGCTAACACTGGCCAGTGCTACATTGGGTGACCCAGTGTTTATTGAGTACCTACTATGTGCTGGCACTGTTCTGGATCCTGGAAAGCCAAGGAAAATTAGCCTATGTTTCTTTCCTCCTGGCACCCATGAGCAATTTAGTCCGGAGGGTGAGCTATACTTTGGGGTTTACATCCCAGCTTTGCCTCTTGTGAGCTGCCAAGTCTTGGGTAAGTCACGTCACCTCTCTGACGTGATTGAGTGCTTAGTGCAATGCCTAGGAGATAATAAGCAGTTAATAGACAGTGGCTGTGGTTGCTTTGTTATTTCCTGGCCCAGTAGGCCCTGGGCAGTAAATTCTGCACCGCTGAGCATGCCACCCACAGGCTAAGCAGTGATGGTGCTAACCTTCAGACCAGAGCTGTGCAGGAAAGGGTCCAGAGGGCCCTGGGCCTCGCAGGCTTCTGATCTCTGGCCTCCATCTCCTCCAGGAACTGGAGAACCTGAACAAGTGGGGCCTGAACATCTTTCGAGTGTCTGATTATGCCGGGGGCCGTTCCCTCAGCTGCATTATGTACACGATATTCCAGGTAGGTCGGGCTGAGTGGAGCAGGGTGAGGGCAGTGCAAGGGAGGGGGCCAGGGTAGAGAGCTAAGGGCTAGCGGGGATCAACGGGGGGATCACCTCTGCTCCACACCCGCCCTCAGGAACGGAACCTGCTGAAGATGTTCCGCATCCCGGTGGAAACAATGGTGACATATATGCTGACCTTGGAGGACCACTACCACCAGGATGTGGCCTACCACAACAGCCTGCATGCAGCTGACGTGCTGCAGTCCACCCATGTGCTGCTGGCGACGCCTGCCCTGAACGTGAGCGCCGCCTGGCCCCTTCTCCCCAGCCCATCACTCTGACTGCCCACCATCTCCGATCTCCTGCTTCTCTCTCTGACCGCATTCCTCCCTCTGATCTTCATCTTTCCTGACCCCCATCTTTCTTGACCACCCATCTGTCTCTTACCCTGTCTGTATGACTCCCCATCTTTCTAACCACTGTGTCTCTCTGGCCCCTTCTCTCTGCCTCCAGGCCGTGTTCACAGACCTGGAGATTCTCGCGGCCCTCTTTGCGGCTGCCATCCATGACGTGGACCACCCTGGGGTCTCCAACCAGTTCCTCATCAACACCAGTGAGTGATCCTCCACGGGGGCGGGGCCTGCCGGGCTGGAGGCGGGGCCTGCACTTGCCCGCTCTGCTCTTCGGGGCAGCCCTGTGGGTCCTCCCTTCCCCTGACTGCCAGCCCCGGCCTGGGCCACAGATTCAGAACTGGCGCTCATGTACAACGACGAGTCAGTGCTGGAGAACCATCACCTGGCCGTGGGTTTCAAGCTGCTACAGGGGGACAACTGCGACATCTTCCAGAACCTCAGCAAGCGCCAGCGTCAGAGCCTGCGCAAGATGGTCATCGACATGGTAGGTGGCGGGGACAGAGAGGGAAAGGTCGCCTTTGAAGGGTGGTGCTTCCGGGAGGTCTGAGTCCCGGATGGAAAGCCTCTCCACCCCCCCACCGCCCCTGGGGAAGAGGCATCTTTTGGAGGGGCTTGCGAAGACAGGTTGTACCAAGTGAAAACTTCAGAGGCTCGGGTGGGTACAGCGGGCAGGTGGCAGGGCTTCAGTCGACCCTGTGTCGCACCGTTGCTCACAGGTACTGGCCACGGACATGTCCAAGCACATGACCCTCTTGGCCGACCTGAAGACCATGGTGGAGACCAAGAAAGTGACCAGCTCTGGGGTCCTTCTGCTGGACAACTACTCCGACCGCATCCAGGTGCACCCCTTGCGTGGGCCCTCCCGCGCCCCTCCCGCCTTCAGGTCTGGGTTGCCGCCCCCTCTCAGCCCAGCTCCCTTGTTGCGGATCTTCCTGTCTGTTTTTCTCTCTCCCCTCCTATCTTCTGCTTCCAGCTCCCATCTCTCTTTCCCATCACCCCCAATTCTTCCCTTTCTTCATCAAACCCTTCTTATCTCTCCCTTCCCCTCTCCCCCACCATCTCCTCCTCTCTGCTGCCCCACCTTCCCCTCCCCTCTGTCCCCCATTTCTCCCACCCCTTTCCATCTCCCCACACCTCTCCCTACTCCCTCTTTCCCCCTCCCGGTCTCCCCTTTCCTCTCCTCCACTCTTCTCCCTCTTTGTTCCTCCATCTCTCTCCATCTCCCCCCTACCCCTTCTCCCCACTCTTCCTCCAAGGGGGAGGTAAGGAAGCCTGAGGCCTCAGACTGGGACAGGGGCATGGCTTCTGAAGGTCCCCTGCCCCGTGCAGGTCCTACGGAACATGGTGCACTGTGCAGACCTCAGCAACCCCACCAAGCCGCTGGGGCTATACCGCCAGTGGACGGACCGCATCATGGCCGAGTTCTTCCAGCAGGGCGACCGTGAGCGTGAGCGTGGCATGGAGATCAGCCCCATGTGCGACAAACACACGGCCTCGGTGGAGAAGTCTCAGGTACCGTTTCCGAGTGCCAATGGATGGGAGCAGGCCAGCCTCCCACCCCGTCCTGGCCTGGAGGTCCTGACCTGCCCCTCCACAATGTGAAGTCTTAGTTTGTTTTTTCCTTTTCTAGCTTGATGGGAAATATGCAACATTTTCTTCTCCACAGAACAGCCAGACAGCCTCTGGGCACACCGACCTGTGTTCAGACAGTTCTAACTCATTTGCAGCAACGCCATAGCATCAGTAATAATACTTAGCTGGCCTTTATTTACAGACCTTGTGTCGGTCCAGCCTGTTTCCCATATTGTAACCAGGCCACTGATGTCCCTGATTTTCTGTGGATTTTGAAGCGAGGTGAAATGACTCGTCTTCATTGTGTGCCTGTTTAACAAGAGGGACAGGAACGCAATCTGTTAAAAGATTCAACACTGAAGTGTGAATAAGAGTTTCTCACCCTCCCCACTTCTAGTCTCTTCCTAGTGAGACCCACATTTTCCGGTTCGGTAGTATTCCCTTCCAGGCCAGGGTTACCCGGCCTCGGCTCTGTTGACAGTTGGGGTTGGATCATTCTCCCTGGTGGGGACCTGTCCTGCACGTTGCAGTTTGTTGAGCTGCATCCTTGGCCTCCACCCACTAGATGCCAGGAGCACCTTCCCCTTCCAGGCATTACAACCAAAAATGTCTCCAGACACTTCCAAATGTCCCCTGGGCATGCAAATCACCCCCCACCTCCCCACTGCCACCCCGATGAAAACCAGTTTCATAGTTTTAGTATGTAGTTATTTTCACAGGCAACTTAGTAGTAATGGTTTGTGGGTTTAGCTTTTTTAAAAATATAAATTGTATCAATATATGCCCATCTTATACAGCTTGTCTTTTTTTCTCAACAATGACTTGGAGATCTGTCCAAGTTCCTACACAAAGATTTAGTTTATCCTTTTTCACTACTGTGTAGTATTCCCACGGATATAGATAGATAATGGTTTGTGTAGTCATTCCCCTGTTGATGGATATTAAAATGTTCAGGAGTTAGGAATTCACAGTGACTCAAACAAAATAAGGCTTTTTTTTTTTTTTCTTCTATGTAAGAAAAATTTAGAGAAGGGAATTTGGCTCTCTGGCTCCACAAAGTTGGCAGGCACCCCAGAGCATTCAGTGTTTCTCTTCTACCATCCAAAGCATGGGAGTTCTATCCCCAGAAATGTCTCTTATGGTCACAGATGCTGTTGAAGCTCCAGCCATCCTGGCTATATTCCAGGGAAGAAAGACCTCTGCCAGCTGAGGCAGCGTCCAGCATCTTCCATCTACAGGTGGTCTCATGGCCATCTTCTCTTTGCAAGGGAGGCTGGGAAATGTAATTTTCAGCTGGAAGCATTGTATCTCCCAAGAAAAATCAAGATTCTGTCAAAAAGGAGGAAAGATGATATCAGGGTGTTAGCCTGCCATGAAGTTATTTCTAGTTTCTCTTTTTTTTTGCAAAAAATGCCACCATGGATATCTGTGGCATACTACATTTCTAAAAAACTTATCCCCAACTGATGTATATATATATATATTGAAGTGTTTCCAGTTTTTGTTTACATCCCATGTAGGTCTTTTTTTCTTACTTATGCAAGAGTTTTTCCAGGGTGGATCTGAAGAAACAAGATTGTTGGGTCAAATAGTGTCAGCATCTTTTAAATTTCATTAGATCCTGCAGCATGGTGGTGCCATCTGCACCAGCAGGCCACGGGTTTACACTGTCTTCCTCTTCCCCCAGGTGGGTTTCATCGACTACATTGTGCACCCGCTGTGGGAGACATGGGCTGACCTTGTTCACCCAGATGCCCAGGAGATCCTGGACACGTTGGAGGACAACCGGGACTGGTACTACAGCACCATTCGGCAGAGCCCGTCACCACCGCCAGAGGAGGAGCCCAGGGGGCCAGGCCATCCACCCCCACCCGATAAGTTCCAGTTTGAGCTGACACTGGAGGAGGATGAGGAGGAGGAGGCATCCTCTGCCTTGGGTGCAGCTGGGGAATGGTCTATGGCCCAGGATACGTCCCCAGCTGAGGAACTGTTGGAGGTCGACGGCCAGGACGCACCCACGGAGGTGGAGGTGGAGGTGGAGAAAGCGCCCTTGACACAGCAAGCAGACAGTGCGGTCTCAGGCCAGGACGAATCCACGTCCCCAGATGCATTCGCACATGCTGTAGGCTGCAGCAGCCCCTCTGCCCTTTCTCCTGAGAGCCCTTATCTGCCTGCCTTGAGGACCCTGCCTACTCGAGAGGAGGCCCCGGGCCTCCTGGGCCTCCCCTCCATGGCGGCCGAGGTGGGGGCCCAGAAAGAGCAACAGGCTGCCAAGAGGGCGTGCTGTGCCTGCACAGGGACATCCAGCGAGGAGCCACCCACAGTCCCAGCTCCTGGCAGGTGGGGGTCTGCTGGAGGCCCTATCTGAGCCACAGCCCCTACATTCTTTTGCCCTCCCTGCCTCCCTTCATCACCATCACCCCCCAACTGCCTCCTCCACTGCCTCTAAGACTCTTGGGCCTCCTGAGAAAAAAGAAAACAGAAAAGTGGGTTTTTTTCTCTTTTCTTTTTTTCCCCTTTCTCCCCACCCCCACCCCCACCCACGGGGCCTCCATTAGGAGGTGGGGCCTGGGGAACCAGGGGCTGAGGTCCTGGAAGGGGTTTTATTTTTGGAATTTTAATTGTTACATTTTTAGAAAAAGAAAAAAAAAGGAAAAAAAAAAAACACACACAGGATGAAACACGGCAACTGTAGATGCTCCTGTTCCTGGCTCCCCTCGTCCATCTCCAACCTCACCCCCAAAACCCAGGTCCCAGGCTCAGTCTTCCAGCCTCTTCTGGCTCTCCGCCCGGGGCCCAAGCAGGCACAGGGTCTCCCTCCAGGCTCTCCTGAGTTTGGGAGGGTTCCTAGAACCCAGCCAGGAATAGCCATTCTGGGCAGAGCCTGGTGGGGGGGTCAGGGTGAGAGGCCCCAGTTCCAGCCCCTCTCAGGCTCGATGCCCTCCCCCATCCAGAAGTCTTCCGCCTCATTTTGCACAAACCTGGCAATACTGACTCGAGGATGGGCACAGCGATGCTGTGAAATTTAGGATGCTGGGAGGAGAGGGTGTTGGAGGGATATTCACACCACCAGCCCGGGGTCTGAGGTTTTAGGAGGGCCTGATCCTCCCTCCACTTGCCGCCCCCTTCCTTTCCACTTTGGGTTCTGTTTGAATTTTTTCCGTTTGGGGGGGCACGGCTCTGAGCTGCACCCCCTCCCAGCTGCTTCTCCTCTTGTTTCTGCCTTAATGATTCCCCGTAGGAGAGGGGCTTGCGGTGGCTCCCACCTGCACCTTGGGTGGGGCGGGGCCAGGCCCAGAGCCCCCATCCTAGGTAGCCCCTAAGCCTCCTCCTGTCATCCTCCCCAACCCTTTGCCCTAGGAGGAAGCAATAATGGTGTACACCCACATTCCCTTTCTGGGCATCCCTTCCTACTCTGGCACCAAAGTCATTTATCCTTTGTCCCCACTTAGCCAAGCTTCCTTGTCTCCCCTTAGCTATCCCCCCTAGCAATACGACAGACAAATGAAAGGCCATTTTTCTCCAAGCCATGGGGGACTGTTTGGAAGGAAAGACTCCCTCTGTCCCCTCTCCTCTGCCCCCCAGCAGCTGGTTCTGCAGCTGGACAGGGCAGGGCCTCTCTCTCATCGCCCCCACCCCTCCAATTCTGAGCACATGGTACTGTAGCCTCCCCTCCCCACAGCCTTCCATCTGTCTGTCCAGCCCACTGGGGAGTACCACCTGCTCCCACCTCCATGACGCTGTACAGGGTTCATTTTTGTAGTGAAATTAGTTTCTGTCCCAGCCAGCAACCAGAGTGGGCCTTTTTTTTTTTTTTTTTTTTTTTGGTTTTCTTTCTTTTGTACATATTGTAAGGTTGGTTTGTAAATTATTCTACAGAGGCAAAAAGGGAAAATAAACTTGCCCTTTCCCTGCTGACCCAATCAGGGGAAGGAGGGGTGGGGGTCTCCCAGAGGGAGTGTCCCCATTCCCGCTGTATTATACAAACTGTACCATAGACCCCGAAAGGGTGGGCTCAGTGCTGTTGTTTGATGGGGAGTAGGTTCATCTAGGGGGTGAGGGCTAGGCAGAGCCTGCCCTTCTCCCCACCCCAGGGCCAGGCGTGACTGGCATCTGTTGAGATGGACCCACACCCTCAATCAGGGCTCCTCTCTCCAGGGGGGCACAGGACCCCCATGAGCTGCTTGAGTGTTGTCCACTTTGACGATACATCAGTCAGTCTGTTGATCGAAAATCAATCCTTCGATCTTGTCTCCAATTAAACTGAGGCTTTCACCTACCTTCCTGGCTGATGTGGCTTCCTTTCCCACCCTGGTTCTCGGAGTAAGCCTCTCCTGCACTGTCTGCCTGGGTCGTGGATAGAGGAAGGGGGGTGGTCTGTCCCTACCGCTCCCCAAGCAGATAGAACTTAAGTGGTTTGCCAGGAGCTTGGTGGAAGACAGCCTCCAGGCCTGGTTTAGCTCCTGCCACAGGCAACTCCGGGTTGTAAAATGAATGTCGAGACGACGCAGTGTTTGTAGGCCAGCAGACACAGGTAAACCTCCCTTTTCCCACATGGAACATATCTGACGCAACTCTTGGGTTCTTCTTTCACTCCTGGAAACCTCCAGGACGAGGGCTCTACCACCTGTCTGCCAGGTCGTGATGAAAGATCTGGGGTCAAATTCTGCTGTGCAGACATTAAATTTGATTAACAGGCACAAGAGAATTTACACCTGTAAATTCCATGAATTCCCAGCATTCCCTCCATGTTCGTGTTGCAACCACGTTGCATGAAAACAAAACCAAGAAACAATCTGAATATATCAAAGGCAGGATACTGCGTTGCTTCAGGCCTGTAAGCCTTATGGGTATCAGATAAGCTGAACCCTCCAAATTAATGACTGGACACAGAATGGGCTTGGATATAAACTGTTTTTCTGACTTATTCATATAAGGTTCGGGAGTGAGTGAGTCTCATTTTAACCAATCTAAATATTTGAATACTGTTAATTCCACCCACGGGAGCCCCTTTTCCCAAACTTTATAAGGCTAATTAACAAGCCCCAGATTTTATTAATCAAAGGGTACTGACATCATTATGCTAATGAGCAAAACTTCCCATGTGGATAAAGATGTGTATAGGAGAAGCGTTTCTGATGCGGGCTTTCAGATTAGAATACTGGCAGCCTCAAATGTAATAAACAGAGGGACACCCAAATATGCACAGTGCGTAAGTGGTTAAGCACTGTGGTAATCAGCAGGTGTATACATTCACAGCGTATGTGTTCTGAAACAAAATGAGGCCAGCTTCATTGCACCCAAGGAAAAATCGACCTGCCTACTCTGCCAGCTCTTAGTTATGTGCCCTTGGGCGTGATCTCTCTGACCTTCAGTTGTCTTATCCGTAAAATGGGATAACGAAAATCTTAGACTTACAGGGTCAGTCTCAAGCAAGGCTGTCCAGTGTAACTTTCTATGATGATGGGAATGTTCTATGTCTGCTCTATCCAACACCATAGCCACTAGCCACATGTGGCTATTAGGCACTTGAAATGTGGCTGGTGCCACTGAGGAAAAGGAGTTTTAATTTTCCTTTATACTAAGTAGCCACATGTAGCCAATGGCTACTGTATCAGACTGCATAGTTCTGGAACTTAAGCGAGAGAGTGAATGTAGGGGATTCAGTGCATACAAAGGTTTGCCTACTTGACTGTGGCTTAAAGAGTCACAGTTGATATCCTGGCCCACAGGAGTGGGGGCAGCCTGGACCCAGAGGGGAGAAGCAAAGCTGGAAAAATTGGTAGAAGTTTCCAGGGAATCTGAACTTTGTGCAAGAAGCAAAGAGGAGTCACAGACTTTCCCCAAGGGTGTTTCAGAGAGGCAAAGTCGGGGAAAGGGTATTGGGCTGGGGGTCAGGAGGCAACAGTACTAACCCCAGGACTGCAGGGGATGGCTGGCTGGGCCAGGGTGAGCCTTCTTACTCCAGGTCTCAGTTTCCCCAAGTGTAAAAGGGCAGGCGTGATGTCCCAAATGCCTCCTGAGTTAGGACGCATTGACAATCTGAGAATGTGGGTCAAAGGGCAGAGAAGGCATGTGACCATCAGCTGGCTCTTTAAAATCCTCCTGGTGGGGAGTTCATCTTTCCTCAAACAAAAAATGACCAGAGGCAGGGAAGCTTTGAAATTTGAACAGGACAAGGGGATCTGGGGAAGGGGTGGAGTTAGTTCTCTGAAGTTGACATCAGCCACTTACAGGCTTCATGGTCTTGGGCAAATGGCTCTACCTCTCCCAGCCTTTAGAGGGCCCTGAACTCATTAGGAAGATTATTTTATCCACCTTCCAGGGGTCCTTGAGGTATACATTATCATAGGCTCCATTTTGCAGATGAGGAAACTGAAGCCGAGAAGTGATCTCACAATGTCAGGAAAATTTGGAAATAAGGTAGGGATCTCACTTCACCTGGCTGTCCAATACTTTTATATTATTATCGCTATTTTATTTCAAAATCTTGAGATGTGGGTAACATTTTTTCCTCTTTCACAACATACAAATATAAAGAAGTACAAATAAAAGCAAGCACTTTCCCCTCCCCTCTTTTTTTTCATCTATTGGCAAATAATGAAAAAATGGACCATCCTGGGGTGGGCAAAGCACTTTCATAGCTCATTAGTGCTGGCAGAAGTTGGCACATAGAGCTTTCCAGGAGTGGTCTGACAATATTTATCAAAAACATAACAACTGTGCATGCATTTTGACCCAGCCATTACAGTTTTAAAATATCTTAAAGAAACAGTTGGATGAAAACCTAAAGATACAGGTACAAAATGCCCATTCTAGTGTTGGTCTAAATAGTGAAGAATTATGTCTGACCTAGAGAATTATTAAATTATGCTTCACTGTCACAATGGAATAATATGCAGCCATTAACAAAGAGGTAGATCTGTACTGAAATGCTAAGATGTTTACCATAGAGCAGGTTTCAAAACATTCTGCATTATATGATCCTGCTAAAAAATATGTGCATAGAAAAGACAGCTTGTCCATCAACATATTAACAGTTCTCCAGTGGTGGGATTAGAAGAGATCTGCGTTTTCTATTCTGTAGTCTTCGATATTTTCTGAGTTTTAGCAGTGAGCATGTATTACTTTTACAATCAAAAGGAAGATTATTTCATAATCAGAAGAAATAGCCGATGTTTATTTTGGAGCCACAAAATCATGGTAGATAAGCACACAGGCTCTGGATTCTGCTTGCTTGTGTTCTAATTACTACTCTACCAGTTAATGATTATTAGTCTGAGCATGTTACTTACCTGCTCTGTGACTTAGTTTCCCTCGCTGTAAAATGCAAATAATAATAGCCCAGATTTACCAGGAGATTACTTATGTGCCAGACACTGTTTTGCGTAAATTATAGCACTTAATTCTCACAACAGCTTATAAAGTAGATACTATTGCTATAACATGGGTCACAGACACAGGTCGGGCTGGGAGCTCGAGGGCCCGAGCGTCCCCTAGATTGGGACTGAGGAACTACAGCAGGACCAGAAAGACGCGCAAGCGCAGATTGAATAAGAGGCGTGGCAAGAACAGGAGGGAATCTTTTTTCTCCCTCACTACGATTGGCTGACACAGTTGTCATTAGCCGAGAAGGCAGCCAATGAGGAGCACTTCCGCTTCGCCTTTGGCACCCGAGGCGATCAGACAGCGGCAGGTTCCACCAACTTTACGGAGGGTGAAGGAGGGGGCCTGGTGTCACTCCCTTCCTTAGAGTGACCCCAGCGTTTTTTTCACACTTTCTGAGGGGATCCCGGTGTCATCCCCCTTTCCTGAGTGTACCCTGGCATCTGTTTCCACTTCTTGAGGGAACCTCTTTTTCCTGAGAGTGACTCCTGTGACGTCCGCCTTTCCCAAGAGGACACCATCCCGGCGTCCTCTCTCCCTCCTGAAATGAACCCTAACATCGTCTCCTCCTGAGAGTGACGTCAGAGTTTCCCCACTTCCTTAGGGCTCCGTGGCATCGACTGCCCTTCCTGAGGGGACCCTGGTCTCAGTCCCCTTCCTGGTGGGGCCCCGGAATCCTTCCTGACGGAGACGCTGACCGTCACCATCTTTTCTGGAGGGATCCCCTTCCATGTCTTAATCCCTTCCTAAGGAGTCCCCAGGTCATCCCCCCTTCCTCGAGGGTCCCCAGTATTGTTCCTCCTTCCTGGCAAGGGGCCCAACATTGTCCCCCGTCTCCCAATGGTATTCTGTCACGGCCATCTCCACACCCTAAAAAGACCCATCATCCCCCTTTTCTCTGAGGGTAACTCCTTCCTCTCTACTAATTTGAGGAACATCCCTGCAAGGGCTTCAATGGTTCTCATATATATAAGAAGTCTCGAAGCCCCCTCCTGAGCTCCTCTATCCCCAGTTGGGGAGACAGGAAAGCAAGACTCAGATCACCCTCAAAGTGTTGGCTGGTCGGGGGGAGGGGGATAATGGGAGTGGGGAGTGAAACTAGCTGATAAAGGAACTCACCATGTCACATGAGATCATTTAAAGAACTAGGGCTGTTTGTCCTAAAATGGGAGCTGCAAGAAGGATCTATAGCTACCTTAAAATACTTACCAAGTGCTTCTCACAGTTCCTGATATCGTCAGCAGGTACTTATCAGAGTGATTGGGTATGTGAGGGACTGTCACCCGGAACAGACATTACTTTATTCCACAAAGCTTCAAAAGATCGGATGGTAATGGTTAGAGAGAGGTGAAAAAGTCTTCCTTGTGTTGAATGAAACCCTAACAGGCTGAATAGCTCTACTCTTAAACAGAGCTGGCAAAATCCACACCCTTGGAGAAGCATCTGGAAGACCTGACCAATTCCATTCAATCCCAAAAATGTTTCTTGTACCCCCATTGTGAACAAGAATTCATCTACTCAGCATTCAAATATGTGTGAAGTTCTTATTGTATGCCAGTAAATAAAATGGCAAACAAGACAGAAAAATAGAAGATAATTATGAATACAAGAAAAATGCAATATGACTTCTGCAAGCTACTTTTTCCTTGAGCACTTCTCAGGCTTTCTGGTTGTATGTTTGCTAATGTACAATCATGCAAATATCTGTCTCTCCTCCTAGTTGACTGTAGGCTACATGAGACAGAAGCCATGTCTTCTACTCCCTGTTGTCTCTACAATGTACCTGGAACATGACAGGCACTGTAATATTTGTTGTTCCTGCCCTAACTCTTCACTTGATAACTCCTTAGAGGAACTGAGAGATGGCCAAGGAGAGTAAAATATGATATGTAAA